TTTTTTTTTTTTTTTTTGTGCACTTAAGGAGTCAGATTTTATAGAAGCCAAAGGCTCCAAGAAATTTGTGGATTTTTTCTTGTAACCATTTTCTGTCAGATATTATAGCAGATCTTTTGTGTCTTATAGCAGGGAGCTTGAGTATCATTAATCAGAAGTGTTTTTTCAAAGATGAAACAAGTTTTGAAACTCTGGGTGATTGAGTCTGAGTCAGCTGGCTTTTGAATCCAGAACTGTGGTCTTTTCATTTAAAAGTGAAGAGGTGTCAGGAGCCAAATGGAGGCAGAAGAAGACATTTTTAAATGTCCAGACAAGTGAACCAGTAAGCTGTAGATGGCAGAATACTGAGACAGTTGTATATGGAGGGAAATAACAGAGATATTGGCAGATTGGAGATCTTGAACTGGCTTTATTTATTTATTTATTTTTGAACTGGCTTTAAAGGCAACAGAGTTATACTGTTTAACGCAGGTGGGGATTACCTTAGGATAGAATTCGATCACCAAAGAGGCATGATTGATAGAAAGCCCTGAGGCTGAGTCCCTTATTTATACTGGAAAGAGTCTCACACCTTCATGGTTATGATTATCAGGGATTTCAGGCTGATGGAAGTGCTATTTTTTCTCCTGGGGTACAGCCAGAGTCAATATCAAGTCTGAGACAATGGACCCAAGTGTGAGGAGGGCTGGTCACGTACAAGGAAAGGTATAGGGCACTCAAGCATGTACAGAAATTCATGTATAATAAAGTGTCCGCCAATCTCACAGAATCTGCTTTGGCAGAATTTCTTTTCAGTTGGGGCTCCAGAGGGTAATTTCAGTAACTTCAGACATGTTTATTGGCTTCTTCCCTCCCTGTTTGAGTTCTGTTAGGACAACAGTACTGATCTAAAGCTTCATGGCCCTCTGTCACATTACAGTCCCAGTTTGGACATGTTTGGGAGAGAACTATGTTCTCCCAAGTGTTTGGATCAATCACAGTGGCAGGGACTTTTGACTTTACCAGTCTTGAGCCCCATCTAAAATATTATATCTTTCTTCAGTATTTAACAGTGCTAGGAGTTACTGACAGTAAAGCAGGAGGCTGTGGTTCAGGAGACAGAGCTATTGGTGGTGGCCTTACAGCTGGCTGAGCAGCTTGGGGATGATGCATGTAAGGAGAAGAGAGGTTGGACTCAAGATCCTCTGGCAGAACAGGATAAAACTTTTCTAGCTTGGGCTGAATCTGAGCCCAAGGGCTCACATGGCCTTGTGGGTTTGTTTTTATGATTAGGATGTCTTTCTTGTCATGCAGGACACAGGTTTGGAGCCAAGGTGGGAGAGTTTTTAACCCCTTGAGGCAATTGAGTCCAAGTGAGCTGGCCATTTATCTCAGAATTTTCCCAGTTGAAAGACTTATGATAAGAACTTTGCAATCAGAGATTGCAAATTTGTGTCTAGAACAGTCCAAAAAGGGTGTGTGGCTTTATTAACTGATTAACAGTCTATCAGGTTGATGTGTGACTGGATGTCGGTTTGTGTTTCCTGTGACATTTGACAGCTGTGGAGATCATGGTGAGGTGGCATGGTTGATGGCCAGACCCAGAGGTGAGTTTTTAGTTTATACTTTATATTTCAGATAGGAGAGTTTTCAGAACATCAGGATTTGCATCTATCTGTCTCAGGCTGCAGGTGTCAGCTTTCTCTTGGGGAACAACATTGAAAGTACAGTGTTAAATGAGAGGGAGGCTGATCGGCTTTGTGTGAGGGAGATGTCTTCCTGTAAGTCATGCCTGGCAGAAGGGGCAAGA